AGGAGGAGGAGGAGGAGGAGGAGGAGGAGGAGAAGACTGATGATGTTACCTAGTTTGGTAATGAAATGTCTGAAAGAAAAACAGAGAGCACCAAGGACCCCATAAATAGACGGATAAGAGTTCTGTACTGATTTTTGATAACCTTTTCAGCTCACTATGACTAATATACATCTTTCTTCCAGCTGATGACTTCCAAATGTGCTGGATTATAAGTGCCATCATGCTGTGGGAACACTGCCACTCTTCAGAGCCTGAGAAAAATTTAACTGCTTTAATGAAATTTGAAACTCTTATTTCAAATAGTTTTCAGCGTGTTGATTCATTTGTTCATTCATTCATTGATTCAGTTTCTGTATTCATCCTTCTTAGTCAATGACTCTGCCTATCTTACAATTCAAAGTGAATATATGTGATAAATCTTGGTGGACTTTCAACATTTCCAGAAACATCCCTTAACTATCTTCATTTTCCTTCCCTTTGCACCTGGCCAGGTTTAAAAATGGTGTTCGAATTGACCCTCGTGTTGCTCCAGCAGGGAAATATAAAATGAAGAATGAATTTGGAATGCTTACCTTGGATATCAGGAGGTAACCAATTAATCTAAATAGGATTAATTTTTAGGGTGATTGTAAGAACTTACAAAGAAAAGAGATGGCACAAAGTTAAGAAAGCAACAGGAAATAAAGGTTGTGGTTACATCCCACATTAACACAGATCACTAACAAATAGTCAACTGCACTTTTACAAGTTGCTAAGTTTGACTACTTTTGACCTTGGTTAGTTCTAAACTTTTGTGCACAAACTATCTGGATCAATTGATGTTTCCATGTATGAAAAAATATTACTTAGTTCTAGTGCAGTGATGGTGAACCTTTTTGGCACTGAGTGCCAAAAAGTTTGCGTGGAAACATTGCACGCACGTGTGCAGACTCATTGGGGCCACACTCTGCAAAAGCTGAACTTCCAGGTTCTAGCGTGCATGCGCCCCTGACAATCAGCTGGCTGGTGCGCATGCGCAGGCCGGTTTTCAGCATTGCCATGTGTGCGAAGGGATCGCGCTCCGGAAAAGCTGAACTTCCAGGTTCTGGGCACATGCACACCTGACGATCAGCTGGGCAGTGTGCATGTGCATAATGATTTTCAGCACTGTTGCACAGGCAAATGACAGCTGATTGTCACACACCGTATGTGTGCCAGAAACCCAGAAGACAAACAGGAAAGTTCGTGCGCACCAGGCTACATGGCTTCGTGTGCCACTTTGGACATGCATGCCATAGGTTTGCCCTCACAGTTCTAGTGTATGGGGCATCATACATGCACTAGCAATATATATATATATT